GACATGTAATTGTTTCGTTAATTTCTGGAAGTGAGAACGTTATTATTCCCCATTCAATCGGTTCTCCGGCCTCTGTTGGTATTGGTAAACATGCCGTTATTTTACTTGTATTTTGCATCTTTGCAAAATCTTCCATTAGGCCTATCATTGTTTTCTTCAGGATCCTGGCGGGATATCTGGACTATTTGTGTTGGATCCACTGGATCCACTGTTCAGCCTGGAGAAGAGAAGCTGTGTGGAGACCTCATAGCAGCCTTCCAGTATCTGAAGGGGGCCTATAGGGATGCTGGAGAGGGACTCTTCATTAGAGACTGTAGTGACAGGACAAGGGGTAACGGGTTCAAACTTAAACAGGGGAAGTTTAGGTTGGATATAAGGAGGAAATTCTTTCCTGTTAGGGTGGTAAGGCACTGGAATGGGTTGCTCAGGGAGGTTGTGAATGCTCCATCCCTGGCAGTGTTCAAGGACAGGTTGGACAAAGCCTTGGGTGATATGGTTTAGCGTAAGGTGTCCCTGCCCACGGCAGAGGGGTTGGAACTGGATGATCTTAAGGCCCTTTCCAACCCTAACGATTCTATGATTCTATCTTTTAATTCTTTTTCCTGTAACTTCAATTTCACTGTAGTCAATTGCAGGTTTTTGATTTGCTTTCATTCCATAATTTTCTGCAGAGTTGACAATTAATGTTCTTTCTGCATAATCTACACTTTCATTTCTTTTTTATAATGCATCGATATTTGCCCTGGTCTTCAAAAGTTAAGTTTGATAACTTTAATTCTACTTCCCCAGCATTTTGGTTCTGCCTATTGAGTCTATTTTTAACTTCACCTTTCAACTTCCATTTACCCTGCAGTTGAGTCTCATGTTTCTTACTGTCAAAGATAAGGTCTGGATATTGGGGAGGACTATTTACCTTTTCCCAAATTACCCTTACTGGCATTGATCCTACCGGAATGGTGTCTGTGAACTTGCAGGGCAGAATGGCATCTTGTCCTATGAGCCGTGTCAAAACATCTCTTTTCTGAGGAATTTCTAGAAAGGGAACAACCGTCAGCTGTGTTAATGACCAAATGACAATTAAAGTTTTGTAAATGAACCCAGACATCTTATTTACATTTCAGTTTTAGTCTCGTAGGACTTAGTACCTGTGTTTCTCAAACCTTTGGAACTTTCTTTACTCGTGCATTATGTATCCAAGAATCCACCCCTTCTACTTTTACTGCCATGAACGTGGTTAACAGTACTTGGTATGGTCCGTCCCACTGCTCTTTTAATGGCTCTTCATTCCAGTTTTGGATGTATCCTCCTTTAAACGGACATTCATTTTTCCAGTGACCTTCTTGTTTACAAATGGCACATTGGTTATACCCTAGCCTTTCTGTATTCATCCCTAAGTTTGGGTTGCTAAATCCCCTTCCTCGTCCCCGTCCTCGCATATTTCCCCGTCCTCTTCCTCTAGGGTTAGGGAAGCCTCGTCCTCTCCCCTGGATTACATCCAACAGATTTTGCTGCTGCCTCCGAGAGCTCTCTTTTTCCCTGTTGTTATACACTTTCCAGGCCACTTCCAATAATCTATCTAGGTTCCGCAGGTCTCTCCCCTCCAATTTTTGTAACTTTTTCCTAATATCATCCTGAGACTGTCCTAAGAAAATTAAAGCCAATTGTGCCCTAGCCTGTTCAGTTTCCACATCCAAATCTGTATACTTCTTGGCCGTTTCCTTAAGTCTTTCTAGGAAAGCAGACGGCGATTCTGCCTTCTCCTGTCTGACATCATACAGTTTTGACCAGTTTATTGTTTTAGGCATGGCATTTTGCACTCCAACAATTACCCAGTCCTGATACCTTCGTAAATTCCTCATCCCTATTTGTGTATTATAATCCCACATCGGATCTTCCATAGGGAAGTTTTGATCTATGTTTCCTGTAACTAACCCTTGTCTTATATCCTCCCGAACTCTTTCCCGAGCAGTTCGTAATACCATTTCCTTTTCTGTTGAATCCATAAGAGTGTCTAAGAGCACCTGTATATCATCCCAATCTGGATTTTGAGTTTTCATAATCATTTTCATTACACGGGCTACTTTATCAGGGTTTTCTCTATATGTTCCTGCTAATTGTTTCCAGATGATTAAATCTCCAGGCGAGAGGGGTACCTTAAGGTACACCGGGCCCTCAGCTCCCACCCTCTGTCTAAAAGGCACCAGCACTGCTTTAGGTACCTGGGTTTGCATTTTTCCTTCCCGATTTCCCCTCTGGCGAGTTCTGTGTGAAACCGGAGTAGCGGGGAGGGCTGCCCTCTGATCTTCCCTGTGCTCACAACTTCCCATGCTTTCAAGATCACTATCACTCTCTTCCTCACTGTCATCTTCTCCCTCCCCCCTTTCTTCATTTGGTGCCGGTGGGGCTGATGGGGCCACTACTAAATCCAGACTTTCAATATCCCTCTGATGTTGTAAACTATTGTCTACAGCAAGGCATTGCATGCACTTTTTCTCGGTAACACATCCCTTACACTGTTCTTTAGCATTTACCTTTACAAACATTATTCCACAGGATTTTTGCCATTCATCATTATTTCTTAAAGCAAAGAATAGATCCACATATGGTACCTCGTCCCATTTTCCTTCCCTTTTACAATATAACATCAACTGCAATATAGTATTGTACTGCAAAGTCCCATTTTCAGGCCATTTCTCCTGATCCTCCAGTTTATACTGTGCCCACCATACATTACAGTAATCAATTAGTTTACTTTTCTTCATACTCTGCCCAAACCGACCCTCCTTCCAGTGGCTTAAAAGACAGCCTAATGGGGACGACTTAGGGATCGACGACATTTTACAAATACAAAGAGATCTAAAACAAGTTTCTTTCACACCACACACACCCACCCACCACTGAGTTACAATGTCTAGCTAGACAGATGCTGGTCCCGCAGCACAAAACCAGACCAGCTTTGCCGAACCTGCAGAGCTTTCGCTGCCGTCTAACGGACGGCGCCTAGGCTTACACCAGAGCTCCCTGCCCAGCCAAACGCAGCTTTTTCACGGCGTCTTACAGGCAGGCTTTACCAAACCAGACTTTACCAGAAATCGGCACCGTGACCGAATCAGAAAAAGCACCTTTCTTACCGTATCAGAGGTCCGTCGTGAGCAGCGGAGGTTGGTCGCGGTCGATGGCTCCCCGAGAATCCCTCGGTGCCGGCTGGAGCAGGATCGAGACGCGATCCACCTCAGCAGTGCCCGCGAGGTCCCGTCTGGGGTGCCAAAATGTTAGCGTAAGAACTGACACATAACCACCGGGATGGTTATATGAGGTGCTTTATTGCAGGGCTGGAAACCAGGGGCACGCACCCAAATCTGGCTTCACCCTGGTCCCATCGCGTTCGCATTTTATACACTAAAAATTTCGTAACTAATACATATTCAACACAGATTACATCACTGACTAATACATATGCATCAAGGATTGCCACATCAGTCTATTACGACATCAGCCTCTTTTGCGCCTGCGCAGCCCCCTCTGGTGGTCGTCCTGATGAAGTAAGGAGTCTTCCTCGGATGAAGTAAGGAGTCTTCCTCGGCTTGTCCTTTTCACCTTTCTGTTCTTTGGATACGTCCCAACCTTTGTGTGGACGCCAGCATTTTCTTATCTTCCCTTGACTGCCTCTGGTATGTCCTTTTGGCTACCTTAAGCGTAGGTTTCTGCTGGGGTAGATTTTCGCAATACATACTGTCCTAAATTCACCACACTCCCTTCACCATATGTGGTTATGTTAGTTCTTGCTACCAAGACTACCATTGTAACATCTAGTTATACAGTAAGTGATACAAAACAGCAAAGCTGCAACCTCCTCTAATATACAAAGCCTCAGGTGCTTTATAAATTTCTCAAATCATTTTACTATTCTGTATGATTATTTTATTGTAAAAACCTCACCCTTTTCTAACAGGTGGGCTGTGCCCCACATTGGGGTACCCCTCACTAGGAGGGGCTGCCCCGCACCCCTGGGAGGGAGCATTGAGCTCCCATTGAGGGCAGGAGGCTCTGCAGAGGGACTGGGCAGGCTGGATCCATGAGCTGTGGGCAATGGGATGAGGTTTCAACAGGGCTGAATGCTGAGTCCTGCACTTGGGCCACAACAACCCCCTGCAATGCTCCAGGCTTTGGGAATTGTGGCTGGAAACTGCTCATGGGAAAGGAGCTGGGGGTGCTGAGTGATGGAGCTGCACATGAGCAGCTTGTGCCCAGGCAGCCAGGAAGCCCCCAGCATCCTGGCCTGTACCAGCACCAGCGCGGCAGCAGGGCCAGGGCAGGGATTGTGCCCTGTGCTGGGCACTGGTGAGGCCGCACCTCGAATCCTGTGTTCAGCTCTGGGCCCCTCACTACAAGAGAGACATTGAGGTGCTGGAGCGGGGCCAGAGAAGGGCAGCGGAGCTGGTGCAGGGCCTGGAGCACAAGTGTGATGGGGAAGGGCTGAGGGACCCTGAGGGGTTCAGGCTGGAGAAGAGAAGGCTCAGGGGGGACCTGATGGCTGCCTACAAGTGCCTGAGAGGAGGATGGAGCCAGGAGGGGCTGGGCTCTGCTCCCAAGGAACAAGGGATGGGACAAGAGGAAACGGCCTCAAGCTGCCCCAGGGCAGGTTTAGATGGAGCTGAGGAACAATTCCTGCCCCAGAGGGTGCTCAGGCATTGGAACAGGCTGCCCAGGGCAGGGCTGCAGTCACCGTCCCTGCAAGTGTTCACACAGCGTGGAGACGAGGCCTCAGTGCCACGGGTTAGGGGTGGCCTCGGCAGTGCTGGGGTAGGGGTTGCACTGGATGCATTAAATCGCTTTTCCAACCATCCCATGATCCCATGTCCCTTCCCTCCAATTACACCTCCATGTCCCCCCCGCCTCAATGGTTCCCCCCCGCTCCCCCTCCCTCCTTGTACGCCGTGGTCCCACCCCCGTGCCCGGCGCGGTGACGTAGGACGCACCGTTGGTGCGGGCAGCGCAGGCGCAGTGGCGGCGGGGCCATGGCGGCGGTGGCATCGCCGCTGCCCCCGGCGGCGCCGGCGCCCCCTGGCGGTGCCGCGGGGCCCCCCGAGGGGAGCGAGGCGCTGCTGGTGGCGCTGGGCGCGGGGCTCGCCGCCGCCAGCCACCCCCTGCTCTACGTGAAGCTGCTCGTGCAGGTCCGGGGGCACCGGGGGGGCCGGGGGTGGGCTCCTCTGTGGTGCCCCTGTAGCGAGCGCTGTGTGAACCAGGAGGCCCCTGTGAAATGGGGGGTCCCTGTGTGACCGGGAGGTGAGGGCAGCTGTGGAACGGGGCGGCCTGGCTCAGAGAGAGACCTGCTGCCTGTAACAGGGAGCGGGGAGCCCTGTGGGGTGGGGACACCCCCTGTGATGGGATTGGGACACCGCGTCCGGTGGGGACCCCTATAAAGGGGGGGGGGGGGTGAGGATCCCCTCTGCAGTGGGGGCTCTTGTATAAGGAGGGGTGGGAAATGCCTGTGTAAAGGGTGTCCTGAGAGCTTCCGTAGTAGGGACCCCCCAGAATGGGAGGGTTGAGAACCCCGTGTGCCCTGCGGTGGGAAAGGGACTGCCAGTGCCATGGGATCCCCATTTATCTGAGGGCAGCAGCGAGAGCAGGGCCCTTTGGCAGCTCGCGGAGGCCGGGATAGAGGCTGCATGGCTTCAGGAGCTTTGGGAATGCCAGACAGGAGCCTGCTCATAGGGTTTCTCTTGCAGGTCGGGCATGAGCCACTACCTCCAACCATTGGAAGAAACGTGCTGGGAAGGAAAGTCCTTTACCTGCCCGGCTTCTTCACCTATGGTGAGCAAACATCCCTCGCCGCCAGCTCAAGGTCCTGCCTAAAATCAGGGCTGGGAGCTGCTGACCCCCAGCAGCACTCCCACATCCCCACTGGAATCAGCCTGAGGCTGCAGCGAGACATAAACCCCAACAGCTGGTTGTAAGGCAAAGACGTCCCTACCTGTTGGTGGGGAGAAGGAGGTGGTGGCCCTGGTGTTGGTGCTTCATCCCCTTCCCGTGGCACGTTGCTCTGAGCTTACACCGTAGCAGAGGGGTTGGTGGGGGTTTAGGTGGGGCAGGTTTGTTGGTGGAGGGTTTGGTGTGTGTTAGAGACAGCAAAGCGCCTGCCTTTGCTACCAAACAGCCCTGCAATAACTCGCCCCCCTGCCCTCCTCGTTTGTGTTGTAGATGGAGCCCTAAACGGACAGAAATCCCAAGAAAAGGGGAAGGTAATATGTTTAGAAGGAAAAAAAGTGACTTTTTTCTCTCGTTGCGGCTGGAGCAGCACGGGAGAGGCGGGTGGATGCTCTGTGACCTCGGGGGTTGCTTTCCCAGTGGGTTTGCTGTGGGGAAGGGGAGCACACGGTTCTGAAAGCCAGGTTGGGCTGATCCCAAACCCATCCTGGGCCACCCAGAGCTGGAAACACTCTGATGCTGCCCTTTGGAATATGCATTTTCCAAATGGGTGGGTGATGGAGATGCGCTGATCTTAGCTTGGGACAGCAGAGGATGGGGGATATGAGCAGTACTCACAGGCATGTAGCGGGTTGTGTTCCACCTTGTTATGTCAGGGGGAAATTGGGATCTGTTGTTTCAGCTGGAAAGATAAGGAAGTTTGACTGGGAGATGGTGGTGGGGCAGGAACTGAAGGTGGGTTTGTGGAATCCATGTTAATCCCCAGGGTGGAGGAGGGAGGAGATGACACCACACATGAGATGATCCCTCCCTGCCCCGCTCCAGTCAATCCACCTTGTAGCCGTTCCAGGTGAGCGAAAGATTCAAAAGATGGGGAGCAGCCCAAAATACTGGAGCTGTCCTTCCAGATCAGATAGATGACAGGGAATACTTAAGGATTCTGTACATCCTATATGAAGTCTGGGGCTGTTACACTAAATCACTACAGTGTGGTTTTGGCTGGAGGTCTTTGGGGTGCTCTGGCTCCCAGCTGACAGCAGCCTGGTGTTTTCTTACCCAGCCAGACACATTGTGGAAGTGGATGGGAAGAGAGGCCTCTTCCGTGGTCTTACTCCTCGCCTCATCTCAAGCACTTTATCAACCATCACCAGGGGGAGTGTGAAGAAGGTAAAGGTCAGCTTTTCTCTCCATAAATCAGCTTGCCGGGGTGGCTGGTGCTACTGCAGAGAGCCTGCGTGTGCCTGCCCCAGGCAACGACTGCACGTGGAGGACTAAAGAGCCCAAATCCCTCCTGAGGGCTCAGAATACTCCTCCAGGACAGGAGGAGAACAGTGCTCATATCCCCCAAACTTCTTTTTAAACCTGTTTTTCATTTAATTCAAACAACCCCTCTTTTCCCCTGTTTTACTTCCCTATCCTTCCTTCTCCTTTTTCCCTCTTGCCTGTTTTTCTCCTCCCATCTAGAGCACAATTGCTCTTGGTTTCCTCTTGTCCTCAGACACTGAGGGGTTTGGGTCAGTTTCTCCTTCAGTTTTGACCCTGTTTCTTCTCCTTCCACGCAGGCCTGTCCACTGGAAGACATGGAGCACGTTTCTAACAAGGATGATGTGAAGACCTCCCTTAGGAAAGTGGTGAAAGAGGTGAGAAGGGGATGTTGCATCTTCATGGGTGATCAGGGAGATCGCAGTGATGTGCCTGGAGAGCAGGCACACACCTTAAACTGTGGGCTGTGGGTGGAATTACTTCGAGAGAACCTCTGGGTGGGAAGGTTGTGGGATATAGTAGCCACTCTGTGTCCACCTGTGGAATATTTCATAGGAACAGAGGTCTGCCATGAGCAACAGATTTCAAAAGGGGACTTGATACGGGTTTCCCTTTGCTGAGGGAAAGGCCTGAGCTGTGCAGGTGGAGCAGAGCTGCTTTTCACACCTGTGTGGGTTTGTTTCTTCCCAGACCTCCCATGAGATGATGATGCAGTGCATGTCCCGTGTTGTCTCGCATCCGTTGCACGGTGAGTCCTGTCCTGCTGCCTGGCAGCTCTCTCTGGACTGGGGGTCACCCCAAAACCCTGATTACTTCATGTGCTTCTTTATCATAAATTACTTTGTATGAAATCAGAGCAGATGCAGGTCTGAGCCTCTCTGGGAGGCTGACACTTGGGTTGGACTTCAAGGACCAACCCAGCAGAGCAGTGAGGTGCTTCATTCATTCATCCAAGACTTCATCCTATAGACCCCATTTGGGTTAGGGCCAGAAATCCCTTCCATCGTTCACAGTACCAGGGAGGTCACCAGTTTCTAATGAGGACCACCGAGAGGAGCTGGAGGTGACACAGCTTGAGGGAGGGAGGGCAGAAGGGTCAGGCTGTGTTTTCCTTCACATCCATTGCAACCCAAACAGGTTTTGTTTCTTTGCCAGCCCTGTGTTTCTCTCCTCCTAGTGATCTCTATGCGCTGCATGGTTCAGTTCATAGGCCGGGAAGTCAAGTACAGGTGAGTGGCTGCAGCTCTGAAGGGTTTGGGCACACAGAAGCATGAGTGGGAGTCAGCAGTGCCGGGTGCTCTGTGCAGTGGGGGATGTGGCAACCCAGGAGGTCTGGGTGGCCAGAAAGTGAACCTGAGCTGTGCTTAAGAGGGTGAGTGACTGCAGGGTGAAGGTGCAGGGAAAGCCTGGGCTCTGTACCCAGGCTGCCTTGGTTCTGCCTTGTGCCCACGGGGGTTTTGGTGGCTGTAACACACATTTCATCACACAGTGCGTCTCCTGCCGTTTTGCTTCAGGCGTTAATAGGAAGGGAAGCCAGCAGGGAGGCAGAGTAGGTAACACAAAACATTGCTGCAGCCCTGCAAGAGTTTTTCCAAGCCTGTCCCTCTGCAGGGCAAAACTACACGTGCAGCCACGTGAAAGCATGCTAACCCATGACAGCCAGCACGAGCTTCCAGAGACAGCACAGGGTTCTTGGGCTGAGAATCAGCTGAATCAAAGCATGTGATGTGCTGTGGTTGCAGCACGTGTATTCACTCTCACAAAGCCAAGCAGAGCTCTTCTAGCTTCAGCGTTTGAGTGGCTGTCAGCAAGTTGGCTGTTCTCCTGGGCAGACCTGACCCTCCTTCACGGGCTGAGGAGAAGCAGCAAGAACAGAGCTGCAGAGCCACACTGCAGTGCTGGCACAATGGCTGGGGTGCCACTGCTGCGCCTGGTGGCTGCAGAATATGTGTGAAGCTGCACAGGACAGAGATGGAGGAGCCCCTGACACTTACAGCTCTTTTCCTTCCTTGGCAGTGGTGTGTTCAGTGCCATTGGCAGGATACTTAAGGAAGAAGGGATCCTGGGATTCTTTGTGTACGTGAGTTATTTCAGTACGTTCTCCTGTAGTCCAAGGGCACTGGTGGCTCTCCTGGCTGCTCTGCCAACCTCAGAGTGGTGCTGAGCTCCAGAACATTGCCTGACCCTGGGACTCTCACATCATTCCCATGAGCACAGATTAAATCTGTGGCTTTGACAGCATTCCAGCTTGGCCATTAAGTTTGACCCAGATCTTATCTTCACTCGAACCTTGAGAGCCCAGAGAAACCCAGTAGTTTTTTTCATACCTTTCTCTTTTTCCTTTGATGCTTCCTTGTGTTTCAGTGAAGGGCCATTTAAAGCACTTGTTTGTGCAACAGGCACCAAGATCAAGTGCAACAGTGAGACCCCTTGTTGAAATAAAAGCCAGGGGCTGGGTAAGAAGCACATTCCTTGAGGAGCACCGTGGGTGCTTGTAATGAGCCTGTTTGCCTGTACGGTGGGATCATGATGCTGCCCAGCTCAGTGACGTTGCTGACTGGACCAGAAGGAGCTGAAAGGTGCTTCCAGCTGCTTATGAGGCGTGGTGGTGAATTGGTGGCATCCCTGAAGTGGAATTCTATTGGACACCTTTTTGCTTGAACCCTTATTTAATGCTTTTTGCCTTTTTTTCCCCATCTACATAAAAGCAGAACCACGTGCTGCCTCTACTCCCAGTGGGGAGATAACTCACTTTAGTGTGTCAACAATAGTAAAGGCAGCTCTGACATTTCTGGAGGGGATTTCAGGCCTGATGCCTTTGGCTCTGCAATCACAAAATCTGGGCCTCCAGATAAAACCTGAATGCATCAGGGAGAGGCAAGCAGTCGGAGGGGGTATCACCTGTGATCCGCTTCTCCTCAAGGGAAAAGGGCTTGAGGTCTGCAGAGCTCCCATCAATTTCAGTGTCCCTACATCTTCCTTTTGCAGCCCACAGCTTCTCTGCTGAGCTGTGCAGCCCCAGATCTCCATTAAATACAGGTTCCTCTGGGATGTTCCCTGTGTGTGGGGCACGGACAGAGCAGGCTGCAGTCCTCCTTCCCCTCCACGTCCTGAGGAGTAAACGTGAAAGGAGCTGCTGCATTTCCTTCTATCCACATAAACCAAACACTGTTGGGAGCCTAATCAAACTTAATAGTTCACAGGAAAGGCTTTAACACAGCCCAAAATGTCTCAGGAGGGCTCTGAAGTTGTAGGTGCTCTACAGCCCCACTAGGAAATCACACTGCTGGGGGGGGGGGTTGGAGCACAAACTGCATCTGTAGGACCAAACTGCTGCTTTCCTGCTCCCAGCCCTCCCAGCAATCCAAACATTCTCTCCCTTAAAAATCATTGCTCCATTAAAACCATTAAAATCTCTTATTTCTGGTGGCCTTACAATATCTGTGCAGCACCAACAGTGGCACTCTCTGGATGTGTGCATGGCTGGAGAGAAACACTTTCAGGGGATGGACATACCTCCTTCCCCTCATATCTGCAGCAGTCTCCTGCCTGCCAGCAGGCCAGAAGGATGTTCCCTGGGCTCCAAAACTGCTGTGCATGGCCAGCTTGAAGATGGGGTTTCTCCTGCTGGGTCACATCGCTGTACATCACAGCCTTCCTCGTCTGCCTGCTCCTGTTCTAGCTTTTAATGACTTCTCTTTTACAAATATTCCTAGTCCAGATTTCCTTGGGCATCTCACCAGGGTTGAGCACAAATGAATTTGGGTTTTTAAGCCCCTTCCTGCAGCTCTCAGAGCCCTGGTCTCCAGTCACCCCATAAGTTTGGGCCCAGCATCCATGGTTGCTTTGATGATGGAGGAGAAAGGGGGATGGATGCTTACTGCACATGGAACAAACGATGTGATTCTCTATCAACAGATGGGTAAGGTTTTTCTTACGTGGCTGCCACGGCCCAGCCTCCGTTTCTGGACTTTGTTAAGCCCCTGTTGTATCTGCAGCAGCTCAGGAGCCTGCTTCAGACCTGACTGAGTTAAAGAAAGGATTTTTTTCCTCAAAGGCTGAAAGCTAAACACAAAACAGACCTTCTCCTTGGGACCAGAGAGCTTTGATTTCCTTGTCCTGGCTGCTGCTCCCATCTATCACATCTCTTCTGTTAAAGACTTCTGCTGTGCCCAGCCCCTGAGACCTGGGCAGCATCTCCAGAGCTGCTGGAGCCTTGACAATATACAGTGTGTCTGCAAGAAGCATAAACCCCAACCCCAAGCAAGCGGCAGGCTGGAGAAGAGCGTGTGGTCCCAACTGTGCTGCTGCTGCAGGAAGCAAAACTGGTCCCTGCTCCACATGGGCAGCAGGAATGACTTGGATTTGTGTGCTTGGAGGTGGCTCTTTCCAGCCCAGCAAACACTCGGGTGGCTCAACAGGCTCGTTTTCAGAACTGAACACATCTGCTGGTGAAACACGGCTTTAATGCACACCGGGATCCTTTTGCAATGCAACAACCACACAGCCAAAGCAGGAGCTTTGCTCGATGCCTGCAGTGGTGCAGCAGATGCTGGAGAAGGGCTGACCTGGAGAAACCCTTTGAACCGTTCTGTTAATGTTTTAGCCATGCTTCCGGAGGGCAGCAGGGAACTGGGGGAAATCAGAGGGACCGGAGTGCTGCCCCCTGTTAATCCCATGTTGCAGTAGTGGGTTTTGCAGGAACAACCCCCTCAATTTCTAAAAGGAGGAAGAGTCCAGAGATGAACTTCTCATTCTGCATCCAGAAGAGCATCTGTAAAACGAGCTTGATAGATCCACTTCATCTGTGTCTCACTTGGATTTCAGAGCAGGAGCTGGCCAAGGAGGGATTTGGGGTAGAAAAAGGTGACTTGGCTGAGTCGTGTCTGAATGACAGATCCCAAACTTCCTACCCCAGAGCATCCCTTGGCTGGAGCAGCTGCAGCACATGCAGGACCACATTTGAAGGCTGGGAGGGCTCTTCCCTTCTCCCTTTCACTTCCTCCCAAAGCAAAGATGCATTCTGGGGGAGTGGGGTTCCTCTGTGCTGGTGGAGGGAGGGCTAAGCACCTCAGAAGGCAGCACTTGGGACCCTTCTGCACCTCACCCCCCTCTTTTCACCCTTGCAGGGGTTTAGTTCCTCACATCCTGGGGGACGTCATCTTCCTCTGGTGCTGCAACCTGCTGGCTCACTTCATCAACACCTACGCTGTGGATGATAACGTGAGTGCAAGTGCCCAGTGGAGGGGTTGGGGGGCCCATCCCAAGTGCCTGCACGTGGAAGGAGGTAACAGGAAGTGGGGGGTCATTAAATACAGACACTGGGCTTTGAATACAGCCCTGTGAAAGTGCTGAGATGCTGCGTCTGCTCAGGGCTGTTTCAGCTGCACTTTGGGGGGAATCAGCTTTGATAGCAAATGTCTTCCCTCATTCCCAGCTGCGATGTGGTGTGGTTACTGTGGCTTTCTACTTTGTTCCCCTGCCGCATGCCCTGTGTTTGAGGCTCAGAGGGATGCCACCCAGTGACAGTGACAGCCTGGGGTCAGCCAGCTCCTCCACAGTCCCTTTGGTTTCTCTTTGCAGTTCAGCCAGGCATCGGTGATCCGGAGCTACACCAAGTTCGTGATAGGGGTACGTAGAAAACTGCTTTGTCATTTCTCCTCTTCCTGCCATCTGTGGGGTGAGAGCTTATGGTTTGGGGCAAAGGCTGCTCTGTCCCTTATATCCAAATGAAGATAACTTCTCTGACATGCCAAAGCTGGGAATAGGTTTTCTGACATGGTGAACATTAGAGAGGCTACTGGTTTTCTCTGCTTTCAGATTGCTGTGAGCATGCTGACGTACCCATTCCTTCTCGTGGGAGATCTCATGGCAGTGAACAACTGTGGGTATGTCCATCACACTGAGATCTAAGGCTTTCCCTTCCTTTCTTCCAGCCCCTTGTTGGCTGAATCCACTGCTAAGGATCGTAAAGCTTTCATACAGAGCCATAAACCCGATGGCACCTCACAGAGCCATCTCCTTTCCTGTCCCAGGTTGCTTATAATTTTAGATCAGAGGATACAGCCAAGAGCAGCACAAAAGCTCAAGTGGAGCGAAACGGGGAGTTGTGGTGGTGTGGCCCAGTCTGAAGTAGACTGGAGGCAGGAGGGATCAAAGGGATTGTGCTGGGGAGCAGCACGAGGGAAAGCAAAGCTGCACACAGCAATGGGTGCAGACAGGGGCACGACCAAGCTGGCTTTCTCAGTCCCATTGCTACAAGACATGTTCTGCATTCATGCTTGTGGGAAAGAGACTGGATCCAAGGTGCTGGTGTGGTGTTTTCCAAGTATCTGCCGGCTCTTGAAGGTGTAGATACAGTGCATAGTCCTGGATTAATGCGTGCAGGTAACACTCCAGGGGTAATTAAATCACATGATCTGTTGCATTGTAAATAATGAGCCGGTCGTTTGGCCTTCAGCCCAGTGCAGACACTGTTCTGTGTCCTCACTTACACTGACTGCTGCTCTTGTGTTACCTGTGGGATAATGTGACACCTCCACAGCTATTCCTCAGCTATTCCTTGTTGCCATGCAGGTTGCGTGCCGGCCTCCCTCCCTACGCTCCTGCATTCACATCCTGGATCCACTGCTGGAGGCATCTGAGTGCTCAGGTGAGGGGCACACGCAGGGCTTGGGGCTCCCGATGCTCCTTCCTGAGGTTCCTGAGCCACGTTCTTCACGTGCTGTAGCCTGTTTTCACCCTCCAGCTGTGGCACTGGTGCCCAGCATGGCAGTACTGCTCTGCCTGTTACGTGCCCTGGGCTGGCAGCCTGCAGCCTTTTAGCCAATGCATTGCATGCAGCAAAGGAAGGTGGCTCTGCCCTCCTCTGTTCCTTATCCATGGGGGAAAGGCCCAACTGCAGCACCCATGGGGCTGAAACCCCACTTTCTCTGTAGCACCGCAGGGTGCTCAGGCCTTGCAGTGCGCAGGAGTCAGCCCCTGCTAAACCAGGTCCCAGTGTGGCTGCCCTGACCCTGCACTTTCTCTTCCTCCTCCTCCCCAGGGGCAGCTGTTCCGTGGCTCCAGCCTGCTCTTCCGCAGAGCTCCCGTCCCAGCCGCCCGCTTCCCCATTGACTGACTCCTGGGCAGGGAGAGGTGGTGAGCTTGGACTGCTCAAGAAACCCTGAGCTTGATTTGACACTTGTATAGTTTTAGTTTTTGATCCAAATCCCGTGGTGCCAGAATAAGATGCCTCCTCTCCAGTAAGGCCAGCACCAAGTTGGCTTCTGGACATCTTGCTTCAGGCTCCAGCTGGACCAAAGCTCCATCCTCATGGCTGTTTCAACCAGGATGTGCAGCAGAGAGCAGAAGAGCGTTGACTTGTCTCTTTGGTCCAGTTTATGGCTCTGGGAGTCTGGGAAACCAGGAAATGCCCAGATACTGATTGAGGGACAAAAGACTGCTTCATTCTGCCTGAGCTGGGGAGCAGCAGGAGATCCAGGATCTCCTTGCTGGGAAGGCTACAGCAGCTGACCAGCTTCCTGGCTCTTCTCCTCTGGAGAGGGCAAAGGTTGGCATGGCTCATCCTGAGCGAGATCAACCCTGCGACCTGTATTTGAGGTTTTGAGGGTACCTGAGCAGTAGGAAGCTCAGCATCTCCCAGGGTGTGAGAGGAAAACTGGAGTATCAGAAACAGAAAAGGGAAACGCTTCCCACTATAAAGAACAGCACAGTTGCAAAGGGAGAGGCACAGCTCGGCTCAGGAGTGGTGTTGGGTCTTGGACATGGAGAGAGCTCTCAGGGAGGGCTGTGTGCTGTGATGGCAACTGCTTTGGGAAGGCTTTTGTAGCAGGATGGGCTGATGTAGGTAGGATACATCCCACAGAGCTGCTGGGTGTATCCTGGGTGTCCATTTCCCAGGGGGCATGGGGCCTGCTTGCACTGGCACAGTGGCACCACAGGAGCATCTCCCTGTCAGCAGCACCAGGAGCCCCAGCATTGCAGGGCCCCAGCACTCGGTCCAGGGCTGGAATGAAGGAACAAACCTTGAGCTGTCCAAAGGCTTGCAAGGCACCGGGTTCCAGGGCTCCCTGTGCACGTTTGGCTCTTACGTAAGCAGCTCACTGGTGACAGCAGGGAGGGATTTACCCTCAGCTCTCCAGACAGGAGGTTTATTTGCACCAGTCTGTGCTGCCACAGCAGCCAGGCTGATTCCCCATTTTGGTTCCCCCACAGAGCAGTCTTTTGCACAGAGGTGTTGCTGCACTCCCTGTGAGGAGGCTTTGGGGTCCTTGAGCAGGTTCTTGTGAGGGGTCACATCTCCTGGTCCTCTGGGACCCCAGCCTGCCGTGGCACAGGGCTTTTCCTGCATCAGACGGGTTCGATCCACACCTCCCAGCCAGGGCTTCTGGGGCAGTGCTGGTACATGCTGGGACCAGCAGCCTGAACCCAGCTCCGTTCGGTGTTGTGAAGTGGGTCCTGACTTTCCTCCCTTCCTCCCAAACGGTTTGTGTTACAGTAACAGAAGTTAAATAATGCATGGTCCTGTTCCCTAACACCAGAGATGATTTCCAAGAGGATTTAACTCTGCTCCAAAATACAGCTCTAAAACAGCTAACTTGGGTGTTTCTTTTTGTTAAAGGTGGCATTATTTTCTGCACAGCAGGCGCCCTCCCTCAGGGAAGGGTTCAGTTTGAGACGGGTGCTTCCTTCAGTTTCTTCCCCTAGCAGGGGCTGATCCAGCTTCTTGCAAACTCACATTCCCTCTGAGCTTCCACAGCTCCATGGAAGTTGGTGGGTGTAGGCTGAGCAAATGGCACTGGGTGCACCCACACATGAAAGTGGGTATTTGGAGTTTAGAATCATAGAATCCCAGCCTGGTTTGTCTTGAAGGGACCTTAAAGCTCCTCCAGTTCCAACCCCTGCCACAGGCAGGGACCCCTTCCATAGAGCAGCTTGCTCCAAGCCCCTGAGTCCAACCTGGCCTTGAACACTGCCAGGGATGGGGCAGCCACAGCTTCTCTGGGCACCCTGTGCCAGCGCCTCAGCACCCTCACAGGGAAGAGTTTTTGACCCTGAGCTCTTGTGGGAGGGCTGATGGAGACCCCCTTGGACGGGCTCAGCTGCTCCATCCTCCCCTGCCCACCTCCCTGCATCCTCACCCCAGGACCTTTTGTCACATGAGCTGATTTCTTGCCTACCCCAACACTGGGCATTGTATCTCCCAGATCACCCAGCACCTCCTGTGGAGCATACGTGAGCCTTTATCCTCAAAGTTAAGGTCACCTTTTGCTGGTCACACGCCTGTAAAACCTCTGACACCCCATGCACAGCCTGGCTCCAGCCACTGCAATGTAAAGGGCAATTTCCTTTGAGGAATTCACTTTAGGGATTTAAGTAAATCTGCACCAGAGCAAGCACCCTGCCACCAATTTCTGCCCAGTTCACTGGGACCCCCAAACTTTGCTGGAAACACATCACTCGAATAGAGGTTTTGGTCACTTTAAATGAAAGCCACATTTCAAAGCTTTCAGGGCACTGTCTTACCTTGAAGTAAGGGCTGCCATTTATAGGAAGATTAAATATTCCCTTACCTCCTCCCATTTCTGTCCCTGGTTCTCATCCCATGGTGTTCCACCATGGGGACAGTGTCCACACCAGGAGCAAGGGAAGTCTGGGACAACCCAAACCCTGGCTGGGCACCTTCCTCCCTTAAATTGCTGCCTGGCCCTGGGTGCTGGTTCTCATGTAGCTGATGGGGCCCTGCTCCCGTAGGAGATGAGATCTAGGCTGAAAGTTGTGGCCGGGAGAGCAAACCAAGGGCTGTGGGAGGAGGTTTGGGCCCGGTGCCTGGGTTGGAGCTGGGGATTTCTCCCACCAATGGCCCCAGTGCTCCCTGATCAGCCCAGGAAACAGAGCTGGCTTCAAATATTGACTTTCTCTTGCCCAGAGGCGGCCTGGGTGGAGGTCACTGCCGGCCGGGGCCCTGGGGATTTATCAGTGCAAAGCAGAGATTGCCGGGGCTTTGGCCTCACCTGCTCCCAGCCGCTGGCAGAGAAGGGAAGCAACCAGGAGAGGGAAACTCAGGTCAAGGCTTCTGGGTCCCTGTGCCAGGGCTGGACACTTGGATCCGATGGGGTTTCGGTGCTGGCAAAGCCTTTGGTACCCAGGAAAAGCGCAGCTGAGTTTGGAACGATTGCATCGTCCTGCTAAGGAGCCTTCAGTTAAACCCAAACCCCCACCTGGCCGCGCTGCCCTTCCTGCTGCGGAGCCAGGTGCAAAAGCAGCCCAGCCAAACTGTTGTAGTGACTGCACGGTGCCCATCACCCTGGTGTCTGGTCAGCAGAAAGGCCAGGGGCTGCCAGCTGCCCTTGCCAAGCCCTCACCAGCCCCAGCAGCAATGGAGGGGCCCCTGCCTGTGGCTGTGCATAAGGAAGTGCCCGTGCGGCTGCCCTCGAGCAGGCTGTTTGCTTGAGCTGCTCTCCCACAGCGCCGAGCTCATAGCAGAGAACTCCTCATGAGTATCTGTACAATAGTAACCCTTGGGGAGGAGATCCTGCTGCCGGGAAGGTGGGACTGGGAATTGCTCAGGGTGGGCACTCATACTGGACCCAGGTGCCAGCAGCGAGGTGGCCCTGTCCCCGTCCCCTGTGGGAGCAGGATGGTCCTGTTCACCCGGAGCGGGAGGTTCTGGAGGAGCAGGGTCCTCCTGGATTCCTCCCCCTGGACAGGGAAATCCTGGCTGGAAACAAGGGCACAAAGGGCCTGGCAGGAGAGCTCGGTGTGGTGGCCTGCCCTGCCATGCTGGCAGCTTGGACAAGGAGGGAAAGAGCGTGGGGACGCTGCTTTCCACACTCACCCTTGGCTGTTGTGGGCCTTCTATGGGGGGTAACTCCCTCCAACCCTCCCCAGGCGAGCTGTCCCATCACTTCCTGCCTTTGCAGTGCTTTTTGGGGGGAAGCAAGCAGGGTTTGATCCCTCCTGAGGCCATCCCAGGCTTTGGGGACAGATGTGGCAGCAGAGGCCGGCCGGGGTCAGCCGGGATGCCTTTGCCTGCAGCCACCACGGTCCCCGGATGCCTCCCTTGGCACTTGCACAGCACTGGGCCCCCATCCCGGGGGAGAAGCCGGAGGCCCAGGGAGTTGCGAAAGGGGGGAAAAGCCTCCCCGGTTCTGATCCAGTTTTGCTCCCTCTCCTCTCCCCCTGCTCCCTGCTGACACGGTGAGATCCGCACCGCGGCTGCGGCCGCCGTTGGCCGAGGCTTCCCCTGCAGCAAACGTGTTAATTCCGTGATCTTTAGCAATGGAGTTTTCTCCCTTAAGAGCCGCCTGCGCCGGGCGGCTCTTGTCAGGCTGCCAGCGGAGGCCGGAGCAGCGTCACATGCAGCCAAGTTTTACAAGGGGAGAGGGACGGGAGAGGGGACAGCCGCACGCACGCACCCGGACGCGCACGCGGAGAGACCTCCTCCGGGCTCCCTGCGGCTCGGATCGCAGCGTTTCTGATGATGATGAT